ACATTTGTGTGGATATTCACCATACTGTTCTCTCTTCTTCTTCAATACAAACCATCAAATGTGGTGACCCTCAAGTAGGCCTGTTATTGTTTTTTGTGTACGTTAATGACCTCCCTAATGCCTCTGAATTAACCCTTTACACCCTAACATCAGTATGCACATTCTCTATACTGTTCTTTGTACAATTCCAAAGGTGCTGACAAGGAGAATTTGTTTAACAATCAAGAGCTTTTCCAGTTGGTGATCATTTCCTTGATTATTGTGACCTTAGTTTTTTATTCAGAGGTAATATTATAAGGAGAAATAAGAAGCTGGTCACTCTCAGGTGTTAAAGGGTTAGCAGACCCTATGCTTTTTGTTGACGACACCAGACTAGTTTCTTTTATTCTCACTTAAACCCAAATTGCTTAGAATCTGTACTTAATGATGAACTTCAGAATATTGATGTTTGGCTAAAATATTATAAGCTTTCAGTTAATATAAAGAAAACAAACTACGTCATTTATAAACCCAAAGAGAAGAAATTTAGCTCCAACATTTCTCTCTCCTTTAGAGGTAAACCCCTTGAAAAGTCCAATATAACTAAATTCCTTGGGGTCTATATTGGCAATCATCCCACTTGGAAACATGATATCAGCTATGTATACAAACGAATTTCCAAATCAATAAGTATTATATTTAGGTCTCACTTTTTCCTATCTTCTACAACCAAACTCACTTTGTTCTACACTTTAATTTATCCTTATATCATATAATCATGACACCTAGTCATCCACAGACATATCTACCTTTTTTTTTAGAACTTCTTTGTTGCAAAACAAGCTGTGCAGGCAATCATCAACTCAGATTGTCAAGTCCATTCTGCTCCTTTATTCTCCAAACTAAGAATTTTAGATATTTTCCAAATCAATATGTTTGAATGCGCTAAATTCATTTTCTATTACAAAAATAACCCGTTGCCCCCATCGCTACTTAACCTTTTGTAACAAGTAGCCAAATTCACTGCTATGGTACAAGAACAGTAATTATCAAATGCAGTTGTGTAGTATAAATCTCAAGCAATTTACTGTTCTCAACCAAGGTCCTAAAATTTGGAACTTTCTTCCTGTTTCATTCACTAGTTTGTCAAATCTTGTTAGCTTTAAGACAAAAATGCAAGAGTTTTTACTTAGTTTAAATAAACACAGTATTGGCAAAGCTGCACATTCACAGCACTTTTAATGTTTTAAATATTGTTGTAAGTTAGGTGGCTCTACCTCATAAGCCGGGTAACTTCTCAAGTCTCCTCACCTTCTATCAATTATAATGCTGTTAAAAAAATTCTGTTTTGTAAAAAAGGAAAAAAAAGTGATGATGATGATGATATGTTGTATATCATAATCAAAATACTCTATACTTCCTGAAAAGAACTCTCTTTGTAACATGCCACAAACTTGGAATCTGCATTATTTTTTGCTAACCCTTACCTTAAGTTTCTTGTACATCATTTGTGGTTATTTGTTTATATAGATTATTTACTTTATTTTTGTATATCACTCTTGTACTTGTATACCAGTGAATCAGGTTATGACTTATGGTAAAACTTTGTCTCTACTTCACAATTCTCCATACATTTCTTAAGGTGCTGACAAGGAGAATTTGTTTAACAATCAAGAGCTTCTTTAGTTGGTGATCATTTCCTTTATTCTTGTCACCTTGAGGTTTGATTCATGGGTGATCTTGTAAGGAGAAGTTAGGTGTTGGTAACTCTAAGGAAGTCAGAGGATTAATCTGCCCTATGGTCTCAACCCTTTCAGTGTAAACATTTATTTACCAAATATTCAGAACTATGAGGAGGCTCCCCAGGCAACCATTCAAAGAAAAATAGCAGAAATTTGGAAGAGAGGGGAAATAAGACTTCTGCAAAGCTACATACCACATTGTGTCATACTTGTAGAAATTTCCTCTGATAAGTGTTAATAACAGGAAAGATTAATTCCATACAAGTGTCTCTGGCCTGGGTGACACGATTTTAGCAAAGAAAACTTCATTTAAATGATGTTGGCTGTTTGAGGTCTCGGTTCTAGAAAAGAGCGAGCTGGGGTAGGGTAGGGGAGTGGTAGTTCTTCATGTGTTATTTAAAGACTCCATGACAGTTTACAGAATAGTCCATTTTACAGTTGCATGCCTGCTTACCAAGCCTTTTAAGAAGAGTGAAGCCAAGGGTGACCTTGTTATGATATAAACCTTGCTGCTTTTTAAATGTAAATTGCTTTGTTATTATGCTAACTTGGCGCTAGTCTCTATTACAACAAGGTCACCTTCAGCCTCATTCCAAACCAGGACTTGGCAACTAAGTACATAACTGTAAAATGGCCTATTGTGGACGCCAAAGAAAAAGAAAATGT